AAAAAATTGAATTTTTATGAGTTTTCGGCAAATGGGCGGAGCTTCACTAATCGATAATCGATTACTTTTTAGATGGCGTATTCGGACAGTGTTACTCGCCAAATAGCGGCGCACCTACACCTACTGTAATAGATCATCTAGATGACACACAATTGGAATTACTTCGTTTAGAACTTACCAGGTACGGTAATCAATAATCGATATGTAGTGATTTTGCTTTTATTAATTTATTGATTTTTCCCGTTGCAGATTGGCAAAACAAGACCTTGATTGGTCAGATCAACGCTCACAATGTGTGCTTTCCTACTTCAAGCTATCCATGTATTATGGATTACAGTACGATCCCGATTTTTGTCAAGTACGAAATCCAGCAAATATCTGGGCTTTAATACAGGTACGGTAGCCTGTAGCTCAAATTTCTTGCCGAAAGAGACGTTTCCAGTTGATCGAAATGGGTTTGAACGATAATGAAGTTGGCAGCAATGGCATGTCGGGTATTGAGCAAATTGACCAAAATGGTGAAAACTATTCAAATGACGAGAATGCAGTTGATGGAAGTAATGATCAAATCATTGTCGATGAGGTTAAGGAAGTGGTGAGTTTTATTGAAATGTATCAGGAATTTCCATTTGGATACATCTGGGAAGCCTTAGCGAAGCCTCTGTTCAAACGGCAGCTCAAATAACTCACTGAGAGCCGAGAAAAACAACTTCCAGGTCTCACCCAGTACCGTACCTGGGCGCGCTAATTGGTCAAGGGGTACGGTAGTGGGCAAGATCTGAAGTTTTGGCCTCCAGTGAATTACTCGAGCTGTCCAAACAAAAACTGGCTCATTTGAGGCCCCTAGGCAACCTACCGTAAACTTACCATACCATTCCAGCCCATAATTCCTGGAAGTGAAAATGATGGCACCGTAGACGGAATAGTACCGCTAGAACAACAACAGCAACAATCACAGCAAGAAGTAGATAATTCGGAAAATGAGACCGCTGGCACCGAAGCTGGAGCAGACGCGGCTGCACCAGAAGAGGACATCCAGAGCATTTTGGAGCGAATTCAAGGACCACCACCACAGCTTGATATTGATGGTTAGTGGATCTATATATTGATTTTTATGTCTTGAAATAATTTGCGGGTTTAACTTGAAATGATTCGAAAAGAAGGTAAAGAATAGAAGTAAATTTGGTTAATATTTCTCATTTTCGTTTTGAATTGAGTTACCATCTTCTTTCAACATAGTATTATGAAACATCCAAAACAATT